TCATGCCCCAGTCCACGAGGATCCCACATTCCGTGGAGCAGCTGGGCCCGTGAGCCATGGCCGCTGAGTCTGCACATCTGGAGCCTGTGCTCCTCAACAGGAGAGGCCACAACAGTGAGGGGCCCGCGTACCGCAAAAAAAAAAAAAAAAAGAAAGAAAGAAAGAAAAAAAATATTTTAAAATTTCTCTTGCAGTGTCTTCTCTGAGCCATGTGTTACTTAAAGTGTGTTGCTTAATCTCCAAGTATTTAGGGATTTTTCCAGTTATCTTTCTGTTACTGATTTCTAGTTTAATTTCCTTGTGTTCTGACAGCATACTTTGTATGATTTCAGTTCTTTTAAATTTGTTACAGTGTGTTTTGTGGACCAGAATGTGGTCTATCTTGGCCCAAGCTGTTTTTCAAGGAGAACATTACTAAGGAGTCTGGGTCCTATGCATTTGCTCTTAATTCTGAAATGAAGTGCTTCTCTTCCTTGGTCCTGGCACATTATTTGGGCCAGTCTCTTACAAAAGAACCTCTGTCTGTGAGCTGTTGACTCCAGAGCTATACCTATAGAGGAGAAGCATACAGAGATTGGAGTAAATGATTAAGTAATTTTAATGGTGGTCATTTATTAGACACTTACTATTTGCCATCACTTTACATTTATTATTTCAGTAAGTTTTCCAAATAGCCCTATAAGTTGAAAGTATTTTTATTATCTTTTTACAGATAAGGAAACTGAGGTTCAGAGAGATTGATTTACACAGAGTGATACTAATATAGGTACTAGCAGGAAGAGTCAAAATCGGGTCCATCTGATTCTGAAGCCCATATTCTCAGAAAAAAATGTTAAAAACAGACACATGAGATCCCAGTTCAAGCCAAACTCTAATCCATGGCAGAAATGGAAAAATGGAAGTTTGCTAAAGGAATATTTGTATAATGCTGTGCCTTTTATTGGTTTCTTTCCAAAATCAGTATCTCCAGCAGTTTTGGTGCCTTCAGCAGCAAGCATTCCAGTAGTAGTGCTTCCTAAGAGCACCTATCTTGGAGTAAAATGTAGGCTGTATTTATCTAACTTGGAGTTCCCCAACCAGGAATGATTTTGATCCCCAGGGAACATTTGACAATGTCTGGATACATTTTTGGTGGTCACAACTGGGTGACTACTGGCATCTAGTGGGAAGAGGCCGGGGTACTGCTAAACATCCTACAGTGCACAAGACCCACCCTACCCCCTAAACAAAGAATTATCTGACCCAAAATATCAATAGTGGAGGTTGAGAAACCCTGAGTCTAGCTTGTTCCATTCTGTTATTACTGAGAAAACCTTGATCCCTCAGAAATCCCTCAGCATTCTGTCAGGATTTGGTTTACAAGGCTAAGTGCCTCCTATGTAAATACTTTGTGGGTCAGTCCATTAATTCATTCTGGCACATTTCCTATACCTTGAGCTTGGTAGCCAGAGGCCTGTTAAATGGTTGGGCTTTTTTTTTTTAATAGGGTGATACTTTTTCTTCCTGATGTTTCTTGAGAGACAGGCTCAGCTGGCCTGCAGCTCTTACAGAAGAGAACCTGGTGACAATACTCTAATCTGTTGCTGGCATCTTTAGCTCCCTAATCTATGTTTACGTGGCACTGAAAATCAACTCTCCCTGCTGCCAGGCCCCATTCCTCCTTAACACTCTGGCACCACTGGCAGAGAATACCTCCCTAGTCTCTTCCACACAGTACAACCATACATGATTATTTTATTGCACAGCTGTTTTCCAGAAGACGTTTCCTGAGGCATGGATATACAGGATGCTTCTGGAGCTGTGAGTTGGAGTCTCAGTCATTTCTGTTCCAGTTGCAGATATATCCACAGCGCTCTTAAAGCATCTGGTATTTTCCTTAACTGTTTTCCTGTTTGTAGCTCTCGTCCTCTCCCCCAGATTTTAAGCTCCTACAATATGGGGTTTGTTTTTTCAATTTTTTTCGTATCCTGTCTTAGGAACTAGCATTTCTTTCATCATATACTAAGAAAATCAACTTGCCTTCTTCCATTTTGGGTTATATGCTTTTCTATTAAAAGTTGGAGGAAATTATAAGGAACTAAAATCATTTGAGAGAGACTGGTGGTCAGAGGTTTATATCAACCATCTAGATATAGATAAGCAAGCCAGAGGAACAATTCATAAACTCAATGGAATTGAGCCTGGGTCCAAATAAAACTGAATAATTCTTTCCTGAGTAGTGGACCTTGGAATTTTAAAAGTTATTTTCATTATCAAGGACGCCTAGAAAACTCAAGAAAGTTCCTATTAAGGAAGTCCTATAGGGGAACTTCCCTGGTGGCACAGTGGTTAAGAATCCACTTGCCAATACAGGGGACATGGGTTTGATCCCTGGTCCAGGAAGATCCCACATGCTGCAGAGCACCTAAGCCTGTGTGCCACAACTGCTTGAGCCTGTGCTCTTCAGCCCGTGAGCCACAACTGCTGAGCCCGCGTGCTGCAACTACTGAAGTCCGCGCACCTAGAGCCCATCCTCTGCAACAAGAGAAGCCATCACAATGAGAAGCCCGCAAACCGCAACGAAGAGTAGCCCCCGCTCGCCGCAACTAGAGAAAGCCCTCACGCAGCAACCAAGACCCAACACAGCAATAAATAGATGGATAAATAAATAAATTTATTTATTTATTTACAAAAAGAAAGTCCTATAGGTAGCTTACCCTCCTCATGACCCAGAGGTTCAGCAAAATTTCCCAAGTTAGATGTCATTATTACAGAATTTTCTGTAAAGTTTAAGCAAAGGCATATATTTACCTCATTTAAGTGATATGCCACAGGGCCCTCAATAGGGATTTTTTTTTTTTTTTTTTGCGTTGGGTCTTCGTTGCTGTGCACAGGCTTTCTCTAGTTGTGGCAAGCGGCGGCTACTCTTTGTTGCGGTGTGTGGGCTTGTCATTGTGGTGGCTTCTCTTGTTGTGGAGCACGGGCTCTAGGCGCGCGGGCTTCAGTAGTTGTGGCACGTGGGCTCAGTAGTTGTGGCTCACAGGCTCTAGAGCACAGGCTCAGCAGTTGTGCTGCACGGGCTTAGTTGCTCCACGGCATGTGGGATCTTCCCAGGCCAGGGCTTGAACCCGTGTTCCCTGCAATGGCAAGCGGATTCTTAACGTCTGCGCCACCAGGGAAGCCCCCTCAATAGGGATTTGAGGTCAGTGGGTCATTGACGGAACCCTCAAATGCTGTCTTTCTTAGGCCTTCAGAGAGATCATGACCATTTTGAACAATGTCTTTGAACCTGCAAGATTATAAAGAATGTATTGTTTGGATGGTATTGGTTTATCTAAAACAGTATTTCTCAACCTTTATTTTATCATTACCTTCCTAAGGAGCCTTTTTAGACATCTTTTTCCCTAATCACCCCCCTCCCATGAAATTTTAATATCACAGATAATGCTGTGTATCTGTTCATATACTGCAGTACTTTGGCAGGGACTGGGGATTGTACTCTCTAAGATTTTTCCCCCACCATGAACAGTTTTCACCCCCATGGGGGCAGTCCTGCCCATGTTGACGATATGTTAATCTAGAAGTATCATCATCTTGGGAATGAATTGTTTGTACCTTTCTTAACAAATTGAAACAGGGACAAGGACTCTATCAGTAAACTAATGTTAAAAAAGAGTCTTCTCATGCAATGGCCTGAAGCAACTGGGGAAGAGTGAGAAGACTACTTTTCTCATATTTCATAGCTTATATGGAGGACATTTTCTCTCTGAACAACCTCTTGACCATCTGAGGAAAGAACAGGGAAACACCAGGAGTAGCAGAGCAATAAATGCAGCGCTCTAAAAGGAGGGAAAAAAAAAAAAGACAAGACCCTCTTGCAGTGAAATGCAGAGGAGGAAAATGGTGATACTGAAGAATCTGGGTATAGAACTGTCCATTGTTCCAAGGCTAGTCAGCTCTAACAAGTTCAGTTTCTCAAAGTCAGAGTTGATTTGCAGCAGAGAATACCATTTAGGTTGTGTAGCACATAAGAATGTTCTATTCTCCCAAGAGGGTTTGGCTCTGTCTGATCAGAAGGGTGGGTGTGTATGAAATGCACCTCGGAAGGAGGAGGAGGAAGAGATGACATGTTCAAGTAAAATGAAATACAACTGCAAATTAAAGTGTCACCCTGTTTTAAAAAAATCCCTTTTTTATTTAATTGGTTACCAAGGAAAAAAATGTCATACAGAAGTGTATGTCTCAGGGAAAGTTAAACTGTGAGATGTTACAAGTGAATCTGGATTCAAGGAAGTTCTCCTCGGGTGGGGCAGGGCAGGAGTTATAAAATACTGCCTTAATAAAAATATTCTGAGGTGGAAAAGCTAGGCTCATAAATTTCTATTGTGTTACATGCCAGAGGTCCAGAAGAGATTAACAAATATTACCTCATTTGTTCTTTGCTGTCTCTCTCTATCCTGTCAGCTGAATGCTGGCTGCCTCTTCCCTGGGGGAAGCCTCCTTTTGAGATGTTTTATTAGGAGGAAGGTCATATACAAAGGAGATGCTTTCTCCCAAAGGGTGCTGCTTACCACAAAGACATCCAGGGACTGAATGCTTTTCTGTGTTAATGGTGTCCTACCATTTTTCATGTTTCTTTCCCAGAATTTTTATGAACACCCATTTGTCTCTTTAGATTGTGAGCCTACCAGATAGGATATATACAGTACGTGCCACATTGTTGGCACTTAGTAAATATTACGTAATAATGGGAAGGGGGGCTGATTTATATTATATTATACTATACTATACTATATTATATTGTATTATACTATGTTTACATGTAGAATTGTTCTTGAGAAACATGTCTGGTTTCTCTTTGAGATAGAGACTTGACAGATAGGACTTGTCAGCTTTCTTCAGCCTTAGTTGTGATTCTTCCTTTTCTCCCTCTTCTACTAATCCTAGTTTTGTCTCATGTTTGCAATGGAAACATATAGATAAACAATATAATGTGCTCTCTTTGTCTTCTCCCCCACCAGGGGCAGTGATTGGTGATGGACAGTCTGCCGTGGCCAGTAACATTGCCAATACTACCTACCGGCTCCAGTGGTGGGACTTCACTAAGTTTGACCTCCCAGAAATCAGTAATGGTAAGCCAAGGTAGAACTGGGGATACTGGTGGAAGGCCTGACTCTTACTGGTGAGCCAGAGCTCAGAAACCCATATAGCACTGGATTTTTCATCGCCTCGTTGAGCAGCTGACTGCCGTGTGCCATTTCTGCAGTTCTTCTCTGACTCTCGTTAAGCAATTCAACAAATGTGTATTGAGCACCCACCCTGAGCAGTGAACAATGCTTTGGTACAGTGATCAGAACAATGCTAAGGTGGACACCAAAATGAAGATATCTGCCCCAGGAGTTTACCGACTAGTAGTTCATTGTCCCAAGCCTAGAAGTTTGGGTGGAACTGAGAGGAAGAGAAGGAGAAAGGAGTGTAGGAACTGAGAGCCAGACCCTTGAGGAAAGACTACAGTGATGATAAACTCATTTATTAATCTAGATCTGAATAGAACAAAGGGAGTGGCCCGATTGATGTGTGATTTACAAACATGTCTGTCTGTCAGTCCGTTTTCCCAGCTTCTATGAGTCCTCAATCCCATGTCCCAGTTGTTCGATTGAAACCACATCATTTTTTTAAAAATTTATTTATTTATTTATTTATTGGCTGCGTTGGGTCTTCCGTTGCTGTGTGCGGGCCCTCTCCAGTTGAAGCGAGTGGGGGCCACTCCTCGCCATAGTGCGAGGGCTTCTCACTGCGGTGGCCTCCCCTGCTGCGGAGCACAGGCTCCAGGCACTCAGGCTTCAGCAGTCTTGGCACACGGGCTTCAGTAGTTGTGGCTCGTGTGCTCCAGAGCGCAGGCTCAGCAGTTGTGGTGCATGGGCTTGGTTGCTCCGCGGCATGTGGGATCTTCCCGGACCAGGGCCTGAACCCATGTCGCCTGCATTAGCAGGCAGATTCTCAACCACTGCGCCACCAGGGAAACCCTATCACAGCATTTTAGACATCTCATTTCACTTTCTATCTGATGACGGACTCTCACACATCCTTGGGAAGTAGTGGTTCAGCCTCTGCTTGAACACTTCAGATAGGTCACACTGTCTGATGAGTTGGCCCTAGTCCATCACTGCTAAATTCCTGTTCAAATGTTTTTTCTTATACCCAGCCACCATTTCCCTTGCTGTCACTTCCTCCCATTGATCCTAGTTCTACCTCTGAATCTCCATAGAATAAGTTTAATGACGTCTCTTATAAGCGACAGTTCTCGAGCTATTTGAAGATAAACTGCCATTTCCCTTTAAATCATTCTTTTTGGGCCAGAATTCCTGAGATTCCTTTTACCATATGGTTTTCAAATCCTTGACAGTTCTGCTCATTTCCCCTTTAAGCTTTGAGGTGGCAGAACAACGGAGAACACTCCAGATGAGAGCTGTCCAAAACAGAGTACAATGATGGTTTGGACAGTGTTAGTTCAGCTTAAGATTTCAGCAGCTTTTTCTGAAGCCACTATTGAGTTTGCAGTCGCTTAAAATTCCTTGATGGGACTTCCCTGGTTGCGCAGTGGTTAAGAATCTGCCTGCCAATGCAGGAGACACTGGTTCGATCCCTGGTCCAGGAAGATCCCACATGCCGTGAAGCAACAAAGCCCATGCGCTACAACTACTGAGGCTGCACTCTTGAGCGTACAAGCCACAACTACTGGGTCCATGTGCTGCAACTAATGAAGCCTACGTGCCTAGAGCCCACACTCTGCAACAAGTGAAGCCACCGCAGTGAGAAGCCTGCTCACCGGAATGAAAAGTACCTCCTGCTCACCGCAACTAGAGAAAGCCCGTGCACAGCAACAAGGACCCAATGAAGCCAAACATAAATAAATAATAAATAAATGTATTTACTTATTTAAAAAATACTTGATAACTATTAATAAACCAAGACTTTACTGTCCTATACTTACTTGTGCAGTTCGAATGTCTTAAAAACCAAAGGTTTGTATTTGTTTCTGTTAAGTTTTATCTTAGTAGTGTCAATTGCTCTTCTTAGTTCCTGCCTCTCAACATTTTTTTGAACTTTGATTCAGCCCTTTTTCTCCCAACCTTACATCATCTTCTAATTTGATAAACATACTTTCTCTTTTTTTTTTAACACTAAGTACTTTCATTCTTTTTTTTTTTTTTTTTTGGCTGCATAGGGTCTTAGTTGCAGCATGAGGGCTCTTTTGTTGTGGTGGGAGTGCTTAGTTGCCCCGAGGCATGTAACATCTTAGTTCCCCGACCAGGGATCGAACCTGAGTCCCCTGCACTGGAAGGTGGATTCTTAATCACTGGACCACCAGGGAAGTCCCTCTGTCTTACTTTGTTTTTCTGGTTTTTAAAAAAATATTTATTTATTTACTTAGTTGGTTGTGCCAGGTCTTAGTTACGGCAGGCGGGCTCCTTAGTTGAGGCATGAGAACTCTTAGATGCGGCACGCATGTGGGATCTAGTTCCCTGACCAGGGATCGAACCCAGGCCCCCTGCATTGGGAGTGCAGACTGTTTTTTTTTTTTTAATAAATACATTTATTTGTTTATTTATTTATTTATTTTTGGCTGCATTGGGTCTTCGTTGCTGTGCAAGGGCTTTCTCGAGTTGTGGTGAACAGGGGTTAATCTTCGTTGCGGTGCGTGGGCTTCTCATTGTGGTGGCTTCTCTTGTTGCCAAGCACAGGCTCTAGAGCGCAGGCTCAGTAGTTGTGGCACATGGGCTTAGCTGCTCCGCGGCATGTGGGATCTTCCTGGACCAGGGCTCGAACCCGTGTCCCCTGCATTGGCAGGTGGATTCTTAACCACTGTGCCACCAGGGAGTCCCGGGAGCGCAGACTCTTAACCAGTTGTGCCACCAGGGAAGTCCCCCCTCTGTCTTAACTTCGGATTGCTAGCAAAACTAGTGCATCAGTCAGGACTTTGCACCAAGCGTTGTGGTATGTTCCTGTGGGCTTGCTCTGTGTCAGTTTTGGTTCACGAATTTGCTCCTAGGCTTAGTTGTTCGCATGTAAAGCCCATATTTTTCTATCTTGTCTATAGGGTATTGTAAGAGTTGGTCAGATACCTTAAAGTAATCAAGATAGCCACTTCTATGGCATTTCCCAGTATGCCAATCTTGGTATCCTTATCAGACCATGAAAATGAGCTCAGTTTTTCATGTCCTGATCTTAGTGAAACCTCAGTAGCAATCATTTTTTTCTAAGTGCTTTTAAGCCACATGTTCAATAATCTATTCTTTACTAGAAATCAAATGCAATCTACCTTTTCCCTTATTAAATACTGTTTGCTTGTTTATAGATTTCTGGCCCAGGTGTTTGCCATAATTTTCCCTAGGTACTTTGTTTCGTTATTTTATTTGCTTCGTTTCTTTTATTATAATCTGAAATACATTTACCAAAGATTTTTAAAATATAAAAGGATATACAGTGAAAAGTTTCCCAACCCTGCTCCCAGCTACCCACTACTCCACCCCATAGGCAGCCACAATGAGCAGTGTCTTGCATACCTCTTCAAAGATATCATATGTATATACAAGTACATGCAAATGTTTGTTTTTCCACCTCTACTTAACCTAAATGGTAGCATGTTATACATACTTTTCTTTCTGTACCTTGCTTTCTTTACTTTTTGTCTTGGTGATCTTTCCGTATCAGTACATAAAGCATTTACTCAATTCTTTTTTAATGGCTGCCTAGTATCCCACTGTCCTTTATATATATATATGTTTATGTATATATACTTATTTATTTATGGCTGTGTTGGGTCTTTGTTGCTGCACGTGGGCTTTCTCTAGTTGTGGCAAGCAGGGACAACTCTTTGTTGCGGTGCGCGGGCTTCTCATTGCGGTGGCTTCTCTTGTTGCAGAGCACAGGCTCTAGGCGTGCGGGCTTCAGTAGTTGTGGCACACAGGCTCAGTAGTTGTAGCTCGCGGGCTCTAGAGCGGAGGCTCAGTAGTTGTGGCGCACGGGCTTAGTTGCTCCGCGGCATGTGAGATCTTCCTGGACGAGGCAGGAAGATTCTTAACCACTTTGCCACCAGGAAAGTCCCCCCACTGTCCATTTTTTAACCAGTTATTTTTAAACCAGTGTTCTGCTGAGGAATTTTTTTTTTTTTTTTTTTTTTTTTTGTCTGCTCCGGGTCTTAGTTGTGGCACATGGGATGTTCGTTGTGGCATGCAGAATCTATAGTTGCAGCATGCGGGATCTAGTTCCCTAACCAGGGATTGAACCCAGGCCACCTGCATTGGGAGTGTAGAGTCTTAACCCCAGGAACACCAGGGAAGCCCCTCTGCTGAGGAACTTTTAAGTTGTTTCCAGTCTTTTGCTATACAAACCATGCCACAGTTTGTCATGTGCAAGTATATCATAGGATAAATTCCTAGAAATGGAATTGTAGGGAGGAAGAATATGTAGATTCATGATTTTGGTAGATACTGCTAAATCACCCTCTGTAGAGATTATACCAATTTATACACTCGCTTGTGGTTCATGAGAGAGCATGTTTCCCTAAACTCTTGCTTGTAGAATGTGCTATCATATTTTGGGGTATTTACAAAACTGATGGTAAAAAATACTATGTAGGTGGGACTTCCCTGGCAGTCCAGTGGTTAGGGCTCTGCACTTCCACTGTTGGGGGCGAGGGTTCAATCCCTGGTCGGGAAACTAGGATCCTGCAAGCCGTGTGGTGTAGCCAAAAAAAAAAAAAAAAATAGTATGTAGGTATTTTAAATTTGTATTTCTCGTATTATAAACCAGTTTGTGTGGCTCTCCATACATTTAGCCACGTGTTGCCTTTTCTTGGCTTGTCTCTGTGCTTTACCTATTTTTTTTTTTATTGTGTTGTTGATCTTTTCCTTACCAGTTCTACAGGAGCTCTTTATAAATCAGAAAATTAACTCATAATAGGAGTTTCCTGGTTGTCATTTGTCTTTTGACTCTGCTGAAGGTTATTTTTGTCATAGAGCTTATTTTAAGTAGAGTCAGAATTATCCAACTTTCCTTTTATGGTTCCTGGATTTTGTGGCAGCATCAAGAAGATCAGTTAGTACTTTTATATTTTAGTTTTTTCCTT